CACACAGCACTGATCTATACTAAATTATCTCCTACAACTCTTATTAGCTAAGACTGTCGGATCTGAGAGCAGAGCTGTATTTTTGATGTTAGACATCACCAATAAACCGATTCAACTGAATACTTAATACACCCTTTAAAAATCAACCTGAGATTATGATCACTTCAAGAAAAGTAGTTCTAACCCATTAAGTGCTCAAGTCCACGAGCTGTAGCCTCCCCCTTACCTCTTGGACGGTGGTGTCAGYTTACTCTTGGGCACTGAAGTTCCTCCCATAGACGTTCGGGCTTTAATGGGGGAATTTTTAGCTACCGTGCCCATGGTGCTGCCTCTAGCAGCGGAGCTGCTGCTGGAAGAGGCTGCACTAAGTGAAGACGCCTGCGGTTTCCGCACGCCGCTGACAGGGTTTGTGTAACCACAGGCTTTCACAGGCTGCCGAGGTGTTAACAGGGAGTTAGTGCATGTCCCGGCTTTCATGGATTGTCGCACCGTTAGGGGAGACTGCCCAGTGCTGGAGGAATACCTGAGCTTGCTGGGAGCCAGACCTACAAACAGAAGGACAAAGAAAGGATTAACTGCTTGACAATGCTCTTCTAAAAACATTTTTTGGATATTGGGCCTTTTCAGACCACGGTTTGGTCATGTAGGTTAAACAGACCCAAAGGGAGTGGAATGCAACAGCCCTCAGAGGAGCAGGTTTTACTGACTTGTTGCTGGTTGCTGGATTCTTGAGAGTCGACTGCTCGGCACCTGCAGATCCGATTCCAAGCTCCGGCTGCTCCGCACGGACTCCAAGGCCCGGAGGCTCGTTCTCGCCAGGTTGGGCATGCTGTGCCTCATCTCCTCTGAAACCAAAAGCAAACGCGCTGGTTGCTSCTCCCGCTAGCAGTCAAGACATATTATGGTTTAGGCTATCCCTAGACAAACAGAAGCACTTGCAAGCAGAGAGGTGCACAGCAAATTTCTAAAGTGGCTTCTATTAAATAATGTCTTTGAAATATGTGGTTCAAATTATTTTTATTATCACATCGAAAGCTCCCAGGTGAGCTCACCTTCACTGCTTGCATACTTCAGGCGGTCTTGCATTGTGCTTTGCACGGATCTCCTCGGGGGGCGGATACGAGAGGTAGATGCCCTGCTATAATCTGCACCAGAGGAAGGGGACTGACATCGGGGTGAACTGAGCGGGGACGGGGAGTATCTGTGAGCGCTGCGGTAGGACAGGGAACAGTCGTAGTCGTCCTCATCCTCCAGGCTGTAGGTGTCAAACTCCTGGTCGCTGTAGGTCCCTCTCCGCAGGGAGTGGAGGGAGGCGCTGGAGCTGCGGCGTGACACAGAGGCAGAGCTAGAGGCACAGTCCTGACGGAGACCTGAGGATACACARCAACATTAATACCTTCATTTGTAAGTAAAAATTTACCCAGTTTCTACATGAGAAGCAATACTGTTAGCAGATATTCAGCTTGGAAGAAAAATCAAGCTAACAGACCTATCTTCAGGTTATTAGGGCTGAAGACACACAGTACTGCACACTCTCTCAAAACTGGAACAGCATCATCCCTATAGGTTCTGATTAATTAAAGCAAAGAGTTAATACTCAGCTTGACCCAAATTACTCTTGATGTTACACAGTCTACAAGAATGGCTGCTTGTCTGTTTTGCCAAAAGCTATATTAGGTTAACTATGTACATGTCTCATTTACAATATTTTCCTTCAATTAATTACACACCCACTGGCATTTCAACAGATTGAAACAAAGATTTTAACCGTTGCATCAAGTGAAGACACAGATAGCTTTTTTTTAAATGATGTTTACRATATATCTGCCTAGTTTATTTACAGGTGGGAACTCAAATTATGCCTTATTTAAAGTCCTCTTGCCAACAAAATACAAGGGACTTCTTACAAATAATGAGTTCAGCACACAGGTTGAATGGGCTTTTGAGAAAGGTGTCAGTTCTGGAAAAAACACTTCTCAATGTATTCCTTTCATTGCAGGGATAAAAACACCAACCCTCCCCTCCCAGTACAAACATGAAAAGTTTTCATCATTCTGAAGATGATGCAATCTCCTCATATTTCACAGGAAACTTTGTGATGTGACAGGAGTTCCTTGACATACTCCTAAGTGTTTGCAAAGCAGAAGATACATACAAATTTACAAAGAGCTCTTTCTTTGGTTTATCAAAGCTGTTCTTYGATTTATTTGCTATAATAGCACTTTTATTCCATTGCACTCAACTGTAATCAAGTAAACAAAACAAAAAAAACCTTACATGTTTTGCTCTTTTTGGTCTCCTATTGCTATACCACAATATTTGAAACTGTATAAAAACACACTATTAGATGGAAATACAGGTCTTCCAAACAAGGAATGAACTTCACTCCCTATTTCCAGTAAATCACATTAATCATTAAATTACAGAGACTAGCAGATCCAGCTACTTTACTCCACCTTGTGATGTGATTTAGGTTAGGTGCTAATCAAAGTCCACAAAAAGCTTATGAATGATTTAATGGGCACTGGATCAGGTCCCTAAAAATACACACATTTTAGGATGAGTTAAATTTCCAGAGCTGTCTCTGAGTATTTAACCACAGAAAAGCTTAAGTTGTAATTCCAACTTTTACAAGTTTTAGCACTCTGAAATTCTCAGCACTCAAAACAACTTGCATCTTCTGCACAGTTTTTAAACCTCGTTTCTCTAGATGGCTTCTACTACAATTTCAGCCTGGAACGAGGCATCAAGGTCATCAAATTCTTACCCTCATCATTTGTGGTCTGACAAGAAGCGACCAGGAGGTGGAAGGAAAATAGAGTCTGCTTCAAAAAACAAAAACCTACACCCCAAGACAACTTGGTGAGGTTATTTTTTCACCTGGATCAGTTCCCCAAACCCATGCACCYTGCAGTCACACAGCTGCTCGCATGGGCTCAAGCAAGGGGACAACCTGCCTGGTGGCCACGAGCGGCTGCTGTTTGAAGTGTCCCTCCTATGAAACATTTATCCGTGAAACTTCATCCGTACTTGAGCACATCTCATCTGGAGCAGCATATTTTTGAAGGCCAAATGACACCTATTCTCTCCTTTAAGAGATGTACACTCAGAGCGTTCAACAACTCAAGTGGCAATTTGGGTCTTTAGATTTTCAAAGGAAGCTCTTACAAAAAGTCAATCATTTCAAATGATTTATTAAGTGCTTTTGGTGTTGGGGGAGCCAAGGACAGCAGGTGGAATCCATCTACATGTCTAGAAGTGCAATACAGAGGAAACTGCTGTCACATACTTTCTTCCTGAAGGCGTGCCATAACCTGGACATCCGTCAAGTCCTGCAGTTTGTATCCCATCGAGATGGAGTCATCGGACGTACTCAGCTCACTGTCCACTGACGACTGGGAGCTCAAGGCAGAATGCATGCTCAGGTAACCTTGAGGAGGGAGGAGGACAGAAAAAGCATTTAGACAATCTCCGCACAAACCAAGAGCGAGCAGCACAATGTTTGCTCTAGTAACAGAATCAGTGCAGGGGTGAGGTTCAGCGTTGAGATGCAGTTGCTAGAAATAAGTTAACAAAGCTTAGAAAAGCGTTTTTTGAAGGGAGCATACCTACTGAATAATTCTCAGCAAGGTTTCTCCAAATAGCAATATAAATAAAAACAGTCTGCGCTAGACAAAGCATTTAAAAGCCACTGCTGAACACCTCTGTCAGGGAGTGGTTTGTTTTCCAGCTGGGTGGTTTTAGATGTGTCATCTGAAAAGGCACAAATTTTCCATTTTTTCAAGATGCTTTGGTGTTATGTTGCCAGTAGTAGCGTGGTGCAAGGGAGATGTGTATGTGTGCATTTTACACAAATACCTATGAGCTTTAGATCGAGACACTTCAGTCTCAAGACTGAGCTACAGCTTAACACAGCCCGTTTGCTTTCCTATGGTGTTAAGATAAGACACATGAAAAAAAGCTAACATGTTGGTAGGGACAGCACCAGCAGGAAGTGGTGTAATAAATAACCTSTGAAACATGCCACTGAGCAAAAGGCCAAGGCTGAAGTGCTCCGAACTGAGCCACCGCCAGCAATAAAACGCACATGACAGCCCTGTTCTTGGAAAAGGACAACAGATGTATCTGGTATTAGTTACTCATTACAGTGATCTTGACATCATCACACTTCTCCTCTTGGTAACTTCAGAGAAGTTTTCAGCYTATTCTTAAGTGATCAGGGAGACACTCAACCAGATCTGGACTCCTGGTCGAGTAGGTGCTGCTCTCGTTCTCTTGTGCCACCTCACTGCAGTCTCTCAAAAGAAACCCTGGGGACTCTGCCTCCTGGTACAGACAGGCCTTACCCACCTGACTTGCTCTATCTGTATAGCACAGTGCAGGGTTAGGTGATAGAGCTTGTCTTAGACTTTTTCAATCATGTTTCTTTTGAACTCCTTGCATCAATACAAGCACAAAAAAATAGTCTCCATAAACCCCCCACACACGCCACTCAGTCACTGACTTTGGAGTTACCCGTCAGATGACAGAACAACATTAGGMTGGGCCAAAAATATGAGAGGCTAAAATACAGGGAGGTGGGAGGAAGAACTCTGATCCAGTCTCAAACTGTAACAGAACGGTTTGATGTTAACAGCAACAAGCAGTGCAGCTACAGCAGACTTTCCACGCACAGCCAGTCCTAGGAATTGCACAGATGCTTCAGGTTTGCACATCAATAAGTTTGGTATGAAAATTATTATGGGCCTAGTTTCAAATCTTGAACCTGAAAACATAAGCCTAAGTGAGCTCATGAAAGAAAACATACACAAACACAAACCTGAACACCCAGGTAAAGGAAATACTTTAAGGAGATGATTTAGAGAATTTGTTTTTCTTTCCCCTTAAGAATTCAGCTTGCAAAAATTCAGTTTTACATGCATCTCTTCTTCAGTAAGGACACATGCTTTCATTCATATCTACAGGTGAAAAAGTCAACAGATCCAGAAAGGACCTGCAGCTGTGAAAACATCCCTACACATTTTAAGATTAATTTAACATCAAGTCAAGCCAGTAACTGTTAAAACATGCTTTATGCTTTTAAACATGCAAATCACGATGGAGCAATTTCCACAAAACCTAAACCAAACAAGGAAGCCTCATGTGATAAGCCAAGGGGCAAAGCATTTCTAAAAAGAAAAAGTGAACAGCAATTGCAACAAGGATGAATTATGCTATTGAAATAGCCCCTTAGGCAGCAACTTAAAAGCAGAGGCAGAGACATTTAGGAGGCTTCACTGTTTCATCTACAAACACACAGAAAAATTCCTGTTAGAAAAATTCCTGTTAGAAGTCAAAGCTGCCTCTCAATTAAGAGCACTGACTTCTGATRAAAAGAATGAATGTCTAATAAAAAGCTTTTGCCACATCATGCTTAGTTGCTCATGCAGCCAGTTCAAAGATATGACCTGGAAATGACACCTTTGGTCTTAAAACATAAACCCAGGCAAGAAAGGAAGAAGCCTTATATTAAAATAAATAATTCAAGCTCTAGAGACAAAAAAGTAACTTTATATAGTTAATTTTCATTTATCGTAACATTATTCAAAAGCGATGTTTTAATATTTGCCACCATCTGTTTTGTATTTTATGTCACATAAAATTAGTACAATTTAAAAAAAAAAACACCGAGACACAACGTTATAAAAATGAAAACAAAGTAAATATATGACATTTAGAATGCAAGGAGATTTTTCTCCCAGGTAACATATCGAACTAAGGTCTTTAATAAGGCATATTAAAAGGAGAAAACCCCATGGGTGACCTTTCTCTCTTGGTAACATTTCCATGTGCCTTGCCTGAAACGGCCCATTCTTAATCCTCCTTGCATTTTAAATAGTGGAGAGATTTGCTCTGCTCTACGGACATGCCATACCTGAGCTGCCACAGGTTAGTAGTGCTTTGTTAGTCGATTTGAGATGCCCGGGAGAGTTTAGTGCATTGCTACAGGAGCCTGTCTCTGTGTTCAAATTATGTGCACTTGGTGAGGCCAGGGGACTGCAATACAGGTTTTTCCATCTACTGGCTAGAAGGAAAAAAAATACAAGAAAGCCATGGAACTTATCACATCACTTGTGAAAACAAAGAGCACAGGAATAAAGAAAGGCATGAGGTCAAACAAGATTAACTATTCTAATTGCTGTACTTTGAATGAGACTTCTTGAAGGCACCAGTTACAAGACTTCTAAGTTTTAACAAACTTAGCTTTCAAGACGACCTTTTTCCCTGAAAGATTCAATTCTGGTCTTCAAAGACGACTCCTGTCTCAAGTATCCGTCACTTACATTTCCCATCTTCATTAAAAAAACTAACTGGAAATTTAGGTATAAGTATGTATTATTCTGAATTTACCCTTTTGAAATATTTATTCCACACACACGGTTGCAGATGAGTTAGTGAAGCAACCAAAAAGAGGTAAGGAGCAAAGCTCAGTGCATTTAGTTAAAAAGGACTGATAAAGTAGATACAAATCCAGATAAAATCCAAAAATACAGAGGTAATTCAATTAAGAGTCAAATTCTTAATGCAGTTGTCTTACAAAAGTAGAAGAGGCTCTCAAACCACATTCAGTTATCTTAAATCAGGCATTTCGAGGACAAACTCAAAAGAAGGCTGATTGCAGGCAGTGCTAAATGCTCTGTTAACATGCAAGTCCGGAGAGTAAGCGGCCTCTCTCCCTTCAAACCACTGAGAGAGAATCACTGGTGAAACTGGAGTTCTCACTATTGCATTTACACAAAGCTCACCAGTTYAAGACCTAAGCAGCCTAGCACCTCACTGCTGTCCAGAAGTTGCTTTTCTCAGTGCTTAAGACCATCAACGGACTTCAAAATGCTAATTCTCTCTAGAAAAGCCCTTTCTCAAACTGCTAACCACAGTATTTGTATTGAGTCTTGGAAGACTCAAAGCAGACAGACAGGGTTGCAGCAAGCCCTGCTTTAAAGTGCTTTTCACCACCCAATTGTGGGAAGAAAGCCACAAGACTGGCCACCCTCCTGCCCGGCTGCAAGGTGGAACATGGCTGTAACACAGGAAACTTCTGCGATACAGAAACAGATTCCTTATTCACTTCAATTCTCCGTCTTACCTCTCAGCAATTTGGCTCAGGATTTGCAAATTCTAAATAGAGGAACCAGGAAGGCATTTGGAAAGGCAAAGGTAGGATATCCACCAGGCTTGCCAGCTGATACAGCACAGATATGCATATAACCAAACAGCCTTCTCTGTTTTATAACAAGATAAACTATATATCTATTCTAGCAGCCTTTGCATTAGTGGAAGATGGAAGACTCGCATGAACGGATMATTTTGTATTTGGATAAAGGGGGAAGTAAAAGAGAAAACAAACATGAGACTGCAGAATACCAAGGTAGCAGTGTGCAACCACTGAAAAGGCTCCATAGCATTTTTCCATTTCCAATGGGTTAACTAAGATTCCTTTTTTAGTGGTTAATACAGCTGAAACAGCTCAAAATAAWTGCCATTATAAACAGTGAACACTTATTTTTTCTTAAATATAAAGAAAGCTGTAATAGTTTACAAAATTTTCCCCAGAACAATAAATATTTTGGGTTTAGGCTGCAAACTCATTAAAACTAAACAAACAAGAAGTGATCAATTTGCCATTAGATGTGAAATACCTCTATTTGTAGGTTTTGTTTGCCCCCCCCCAAAAAAGCAGAAGAAATAAATGCAGCTGTATTTGTTTGGGGGTATAACTTGTAATCCACACTATTATCTTAATGTGTGCAAAACCATCTCTTACCTTTAAAAGTTGATAATAATACCACTGTACCTCAAAAGCAGAGGGGTCTTTATATGGTACCAGTTGTGGCTTTCAAACATGCACTAAGGAGCAACACAGGAAGCTGCAGATATTCTCAAATACTACAAAGCGCAAACWCAACGTCTCGACTTAATTATTCCTTACTGACGTGAAGAATATCACATAAGCTGAAAGGAACTCGAAGGAGCACGGCCAGGTTACGTACCTTGGTCCAGCCTGTTGATAAGCGTCCGACAGGCGGCTTCTGTCTCCGGGCTGGGATTGTCCAACACCTGCCGGCACCACTTCAAAGGGGAGCCCGTTTTCTGCTCCCCGGACGACTTCCTCGGGGAGACGTAGAGCCTTAAGGCAAAGGTGGAAATGAGACAGTGAGTCAGTCTAAAATTAATTAATTTAACTAATTAAACTAAGCTAATTAATTCTTGAATTTCATCGAGTGAAAAAAAACATCTCACATGGTGGATTTCCAACTCCACAGCCATAAGACACGTATGTCAATATGTTTTGCTGCTCTTGTGAATGCATTTTGTAGCTGTACAAAATAAATAAMATGTATAAATAAATGCATGTCTTTCAATATACGCAGAATGGTGTCCCACAGTTTCACCATTTGGGGCTAGGAGATTCAAGTATTGCTTTGCATAACAGCAGATATTTCCCCCCTCGACCAGTGAATCCATCCAGTTCAAATCAGTATCTACTTTTATCATCCACGGCACCCAACTGCAAAGGGTTTGCCAAGGTACTGACACGTCCTATGAAGAACCTCTATTCTCTCACACAGAAAGAATCACAGTTATTTACCACTGATATTTCCCAGTTCCTGGAGAAGGAATAGGGAAGGAAAGCAGTTATTCTTCCTTGCCCTTTGGCACGCCACTCCTGCCTTTACGTGACCTCTACTGCATCCCAAGCCCTGGCAAGATTCCTCTTCTTATCCAGGGTGCAGAGTCATTTGTCAACAGAAGCTTTTTCCTAACAAACTTTACACAGAGCCTCAATAAAATACTCCCAAAGCCACTTGGGGTTTGACAAAACAAATGATGAGAAATATGCACACATATCTTCTTGAAAGCACAACATTATCTATTGCAATGCAATAGAACAGGAAAAGCAAGAATAGAGAGCGAGAGTTCTCTCTCTCTGGATTTATTTTATAGTTCAGACAAAAAAAAAAAAAAAAAAAAAAAAAGAAAAAAGCAGCAGTAAAATAATCACTGAAAAAGGAGGCCAAAAATCTCCTTAGGGCAATTCATGCTCCTCACGTATCTTAGGTTAAGGAAGAAAAACCTTGCTCTACTTAGGGAAGCTCTGGTTCTAGGCTGCTCCTTCCCAGGTGTGGCTCGTTATCCCGCTCGTGCCCGGCACGGCATGAGCTGAAAATGCTGCTGCTCAGGTGACTGCTGGAAGCCCGTTTCTCTGTGGCACAGGCCAACCTGCCTGCTAGGATGCAGGAGTTGCCTGCACTGTCAGAGGACTCATTTTTCAACTAACAAGTCTAATGGCAAAAGATGTGTCACTCCACTAAACACAACTAAAGAACAGTTTGATTTTTTTGAGAGTGCTGACAGTCACTTTTATAAAGAGATGCTTTTCGAGGCACTCTGGTTTGATTTCACAATGTCAGGCTTACTGTTTCTCTTGCAGAAGAGTTTACCATACTTACCAAGCTAATGTCTTAAAATACACAAGCACAGCTTATTCTTTTGGAGCTACAAACCATCATCTTAGAAATCAAAAACACCAACCCCACAGATAAAAGTAAACATTTTCCAGACACAATAGCAGGGATTAAGTCATTTTCTACTACCATTTCTCCCCGACAGGCACCCAGTTTGCCCTTCCTCATTCCCCTAGCACAACTGGCACAGCAGAAAGGCTAACACAGTATCATGTTTCCAGCTTAACCAAAACAAGCCGTCTTCATCCCACTGAGGTTTATACGATAAGCTAAATTCGCTTGGCTCAGTTTAAAAAAAAAATAGTAAGAGTCTTGGTAGCTTTATGCTTTAAATAGGTTTATCAGCAGAGCTAAATTCAATAACCACAGAAGAAAATATACACAGGCATATCCTTAAACATGCATAAGAATTGCAGTTTATGCATAAGCTTAAGTATTTCTTGGTTTAACAAATAGCTGATAGCTGAGTAGGTTTTATCTCGTATTTTGTTCCTCCAAGCCTGCAGTTGGGTGTAAGTGGCGCAGTTTTATGTATGTGGCAAAAGGTTACATTTTACATATATTTGTGTCAAAATTCCTATGATGATTACAAAGCTCTTTAGGAAGATGGGTGCGTATTCTCAATATAATATATTATTTCCTATGAACTCCTATAAACTCATTAAATAAGAGTGAGGCTTTATGTAGCTTCTGGTAGGAAACTACAAATAGCATACTAAAACATATTCCATTTCTGCTTACTATTGTGTTCCTTTTTCCCATAGGAAGCATTTTGAGAAATGCACCCCAATAAGAGGCAAGTGGGTTTTTTTCCCTTGTTTGTTCCAGTGGTTTATTCCAACATTCATATATTATTTTAAAAGCAGAACCATCCTCTAGAAAGAGTATTTTTGTTAGGCAGCAGTGTTTAATTTTTAAAGTACTGCATGGCCACAGAGTCACCAAGGCAGACCTTGTATTCAACATATTCTTCCAAGAGGAACTTGGACTCTAAGAGGAATAGTTACTTACTTGCCAGAAGAATCTTAAAAAGACTCTGTACATGATTTTGCTTGTTTTTTAAGCACAGAAGAATATATGTAAAAGCTACTTTGAAGAGTCACGTTAACACATTGGTTGTTTTGCCACAGGAAACTAGAATTCTTACCACAAAGATGCTCCTTGAGCAGTAACAGTAGCAATAGGAGGAGACACTTCCATTGAATCAAAGTGAACACCTGTAGTTATTTAAGGAAAGGGAGGAGAAAGGATGGAGGAGGAGAAGCACTCATTCCATCAACATAAATTAAAGGAGATGCAATGACACAGTAAGAAGGACAAAAGTTAAATCATCTTTTCATTTTTGCCCTCTCTGCCTAACTTTCTTCCAATGCAAAATTCCTAAAACTGCATTATGTTGTAGAGGGGGCTRTAATTTACACATTTCATCACACTTCCAAGGCTAAGTTCTATCTCCCAAGTATGAGCAGGAAACATAACCAACAGATGACAAAATACCCAGCAAATCACACAGGTACACAGAACAAAACAATTAACCCCAATCAACACACAATGAATAAAGACCTGAAGACCACAGGAACACAGCTAAAGACCTAAAGACCACAGCTGAGTTCTCGTGAGCTCCCCACGTGCAGGAATGACAAACACTAAGGAAGACAAACAAGATAACACTCCACAGCAAGTATATCTTGACAGTTCCCTTCTATTAAATAACAGTTTTAACCCCTAAACTTTTTGGAGAAAAATGCTTTGAAGTGTAACATAGCAGAGCTGACTAGTAACCACACGAGGGCAAAAACTGGTAACATCTAAATTAAGATATTCTCATTGAATTTGACAGTACCAAGAGGTGACTTTCACGTGGGCTGATTGTGCCACATTTGCAAATGTGAACAGCTAGCTGAGAAATTAACACAGGAAAATAAACCAAGGCACAGATACCAAACATGTACAGAATTAGATGCTGCATGGGATGTAGTAATTCAAGCTTCAGGCGAGTTCCATCATTGAAATGCTGTATTCAAAAACAAAACAACAAAAAAGTGGACAACAAATAATGCTGAAGCAAAGGGAAGCAGCAGCATCACTGCAGGTAGTAAAGAAACGAAGAACGTAGCTGCATCTGCAGAGAATACCAACAAACCCAAGGACTTGCTCACTCCTTCGTACTCCAACTCTGGCCCTCCCTAAAGCAAGGAGTTTTTGCTAGAGAAGTGACTTCTTATTTTATCAGGTTTGTTTAACAAGAGGGGAAAAATAAAACATATTGAAGCAATATAAAAWGACCATAACTAATTTTTATAGTAATACTGGCACTTGTGCTCACATCTCTTTGTAATACCATCTTTATTTCTGCGGGGCATCTTTCATCCATTTGTTTCTTTCTGTTTTAACTCATTGCCCCAGAGCAACCAAATTTGCCAAAGGTGACAGAAATCTCAAAGCAAAAGATCTTACAGGGTCTAGTGAAAAAGGCACTTGGCAAAAGGAGAGCAACTTTACTGGCAGCCAGTTCAAGGCAAGGTTAATAAACAGCCTCAGTACAGAGTCTCTCCTGATCACATTTGACAGTATCCACTGCTCCTGCAAAACCCAGGCCGGGCCTGGTTTTGTCACCAGGACAGCACAGTTCAGAGAACCTTTCTTATGTCACAGACCATAGAAGCATGAACACAAAGTAGTTGTTGCATAGACAGAGACACAACACAGCCTAGCTTTCAAATTCAATTCATTAAATGGGAAATCAAAATACTATTTAGGTATGCTGAGCAATTTAAGCGATCGGTATTTGACTTAGCATTCCATTCCACAGAAAGCTTGCAAAGAACAAGAAGCAAGTCCATCAAGGGAAGTTAAAACTCAGAGTCATCCCGTGTGCCGTCTGCAGTCAGGAAAAAATAAAGCTTTCCTAGAGTGTGAAGGAACTTTTTGAGTGCCCCCACTACCACTTCCTCTAAAGGTCTATGACAAAAATCTCAGTTTTGAAGAGCATTTTTTTCCCCCCCGATAGGAACTAATACCAATATACATAGATATCTATCTCCTCAYCTTGTCATCTGAAARGGACAAAACTTTTTWAATAAAATCTTGAATTTATAACAAAACTGGTATTACTACCATATCAGTAAAGAATTTTTGTTAATGAAATATGCAGCTTGATAAGAGCCAATGAGGTTTTAGACTTTAAGACTTCCTTCGTATCGAGCAACTTCTAGCAGGACTGCATCTGCAGTGAACCACCACCCATCTCCGCAAATGTGGAACAGTTTGAAGATCYCTGAAGCTGTCAAGTCTCACAATTAGGAACAGTGTGCAAAATCCCAAATCAGAGCTATTGCATGAGATCAAATTAGCTTCAAACTAAGAGAAGGGAAATTAATTATAAGTTAAATTAATCTATAAAACAAGTCCTAAGCAGGGCTGCTGGTGAGCTACAGAGTCCTACAAAGTAAGGTCTGTTATGGGTTACATCACTGACCTGTTTCAGATGATGTCCCTGAACAAAAGGGCAGCTTAAACTACAGAAATAGGCCTCAGGAAACAGAACTGGATTTTCTTCTTAAATAATAGCAAAAGCCAGAAAATCAAGATGGAAGAGAGCAAAAAAAAGTGATTGAAAAAATTCACTTTGTGAAGATTCTTATTAGCAAATAAGAATTCTTATTTATATACGAGAAGTTCATGCACAGAATTTTAAAACTCAATTTTTCCTTCTGCATGCATTTTACACAAATAAASTAACAGGAAAGGTACATCTTCTGTGCTTACTATAGTAACTTTGGGAAGTAAGTACAGAAGGAAGAGCCTTACAGCTAAGCCGATTTAGAATAAAAAACGGTTCTGTGTTGCTTTTATGGTACAGTGGTCTTCAAAATAAGAAGAGACAATAATAAGAATTGCATTCTTGCTGTTAAGATGAAAGCACTGGGCTGCACCACTTTCTTCCTTTAACACTATTGCAATAATTATATCCAAACACAGGAACCCACAAGTGCATCAGCAATCATAGGCTCCATATTTTACTAAAGTTTCAAAATACCTACCAGCTATCTTCCTCTTCATTGCAATTTTCCAGTTCTAACACTTTCACTTCATCCAGAGCTGTGTTATTCAAAAAGTTTTCAATATCTCCACATTTACCATTTGGATTTTGTTCGTTGATTTTAACTGAGGAGTCCAGACCTGTGATGACCAGATTTCCTGTAAACTCTGTGCTATTACTTGTATCCATACGTAAAGAACATCTAGAATTATCATCAGTCTTCATTTCCGCTTTATATGCATTAGAAGAGAGCTCCTCAATAGCACTGTTACAACTATATTTCAATTGGGCCTCGATATCCTTTTTTAAGCAATTCTTCTCTCCCTCCTCCTTTCTTATTTTGCTTAGTTTGCTCTGCAGGTCTGCCATAATTTGCAGTTCTTGCCTCTCCGCCATCGCATTGATGCTGTTATTAATTTCCATGCCRTTAAGGCCAGAGTCATGGTTATCCACGGCAGCGCGGATCTCGCTCGGCACGTTGCTCCCAAGAACACTCCTGCGGCTGCGGGTCCTCAAGTGCTGATTCTGGATCTCGAGCCTCCTCACGAGCTCCTGCAGCTTCCTCACCTCCTCCAGCTCGGGGCCAGCCTCACCGGCCGGCGCTTCTGTGTCGGGGCCCATGGCAGAATTCGCTGTTGTCTCTTGTCCTAAGTCAGGCTCCAGGGCATGGTCCTGCTGTATAACTGGGGCACTTCCAGGAACTACCATCATCCAAAAGGCACGATTTCACCTCAGGAAAAGAGAAATACACAAGWATATTTAAAATTACACATATATATATACACACACACACTTCCTAAAGATGCACTATTTAAAACAAATAGGACTTGAAACATCAAGAAAAAACTGACTTTGATAAGCATAAACCAAAGAAATTACAATACACAATGATTGAAGTTAATCAAAACCAACTGAAAAAGAACAAAAAATATAAACCCTTAGAAAAATATTTATATGAATCTCTAATGACTTGGATGTGAAACTACCATGCCACAAATTTAGCTGAATAAAAGGAAGCTGATCTAACCTGCACGATAGTTTAGCTTCCATCCGTAAACATATGAAACACACGAGAAAAGCTCTGATTGAGCAAAGTCAGGAAACATAATTAGCAAGCGGTGACGTCAGACAACGACAGCATTAAGAAAGTGGTAAAAAACACCCTTTGTTCGTTAGCAGGTTTATCCCGGAGGAGCACAAAAAGACCTTGAGAGCATTTCTACACCAACTTCCACCAGAGTTTGTTTAAATGACAGTAAAATATCCAAGAACAGGAACTTCTGTTACTGTGATATATTAAAATAAGCTTAACTAGTGTCTTTAATGGCTTTTTTTAAATAAAAACTGAATTGCTGGAGAGAAGCTCTCCAACACAAACACCGGAAGAGGATAAACACAAAGAACCAAACCACACCATGGATTCCAGATTCCAACAACTACGAAACGAAGCCCTCTCCCATTCTCTGGTTTATCTTGTGGATGAGTTGACCGGAGAAGGTCACATAGAGAACGAGGAGGCAGCTTGAAACTGCACACGCATCCAGATACCACAAAGCAATGCTAGYGCGTAACTGCACGTTTTTATCATTAAAGATGATAATTAATTATCATTAGCTGCCTATTTCCCAGACACCCCCTCCTCTTTAAAGCCTATTTGCCGGGGGAAGAGGAAGCCCCAAGAGCACCACACGAGCAAGGTGCAGGTCTCCTCCTTGGCTCCTTCCGCGGCTTCGCTGCTCCGACCCAACRCATTGCCTGGAAAACCGTCCCGTGACGGCGCTTTACGCCCGTCACCCATGGGTGCGATGAAGATTAATGGACACAAGCAGCAYGCGCCGAGGCCTATGGACACAAGTGACTTTGGGGTGTTTTGAGCTTTGGAGCCTAAGGTGGGTCCAACGAAGCCATGGCGATTTGGGGGAGGAAACTGAGGCTGTAAATGCCCCTTCGGAGAAGAGAGCAGGGACGCTGTGTCCGCAGGCCGGAGTGGCTCCGGCRCAGGGGGCTCCAAGGAGGCTCCAGTGGGGTCGCTCCCGTCCGAGCTCCATACAAAGGCTGCAGCGGGAGCCGTGGGCTCTGACCCCAGACAAGCGGCTCCTCCACGGCCTGGAGCAGAGGGGGACACAACCCTGTTTTATTCGCTGGCGTGCARGAGGAGAAGGTGAAACAGGTAGACGAAAATCGTTAAAAATAAGATAGATAAATAAATAAAYAAACCAGCCAGAGTGACAAAGCGGCAGCGATGCCCGCGGGGCGAAACCCGCCCGGAGCGGCGCCCGGCTCGGCTCGCCCCGCGCCCGGCACATCCGGGGGCCGCGGCCGGAGCCCGCTCCCCGCCCTCCCCCCGCCGCCGT